GCTACAGAAAGCCATTCTGATAAACTCCTAGACCTCACTGAAGATGGTGGTCTGGTACAGGAGACGTGTAGGTCACTAAAACATGGAGCAAGGGTAGATGCCCTCTGACCTAGTTCATCGGGAGCCCAAAGAGGGAAGGGATGACGTGATGGGAGTAAACTTCTGGGGGAAATTTACTCGAAAGCTATCATTTTGAGCCAAGCCTGAGAATACAGGAGGATTTGTGATCAGGGAGCAGGAAGGACATGCTAACCTGTACCTACAACACACAGAGCTACAAGTGCATAGGTGGTGTATTTTGAACTAGAAAGCAATGGAGAAAAGTCTACTGAGGTAGAAGTAGATCTGGGTGAAGAAGACCTTGAACATCACATCTGGAAAATGGAAATTTATTCTAAAGTATGATGGCTCTAGAAGGCTTTTTGATCACAAGGATAACACAACTGAAGATCTTTGCCTGTATGTTTTTAAGAAATGACTTGCCCTTATGTTTTATTTCCCTTTAAATTTTTTTATTATTTTCAACAACTGTCTGTGCTTTAAACCCTTCATCTCTCTGGTCACCTCTTTCTTCAGCTTCTATGTGCTCTTTTGCACACCACCACTGTTGAATAGGGAAGAGCACTGTGTGAGCAAGAGAATGGCACACAGATGCCATCTGTTGCTCCTTCCTTGTCACATAAGAATAATAACGCAAATCCACTCTTAGGTCACTGCATTGTTGCTTTCAATCCACATCCAAATCACCCTCTTAACCAATCCTTAAATTAAATCAAAGCATGTTTTGTCTTCAGAGAAGCTGTAATAGAGACCCTTATACCCTCTGTGATTATTTCTCATACAGGTTACAATACAGCCAAAGGTGACTTGGTGAGATCCATCCTGTACCCCCGACCTCTGAACTTCAAATTATACAGTGATGCCTTTAAGTTCATTGTGTTCCTGGCCTGTCTTGGTGTGGCTGGCTTCTTCTATGCCCTTGGCGTATACCTGCACTATGGAGTAAGTACGTTTCAATAACACAGCTCTTTTTAAGAATGACCTCACTCATCAGGCTTAGATAAGGATGCCTCTTAGTCCTTTCATTCTGTCTGACAGAGCTTTGCCAGATGGTGGTAATGTTCCGTATTTGCGCTGTCCAATATGGTAGACATTAGCCACAGGGAGCTCATAGACCCTAATAAACAGGGTAGAATCACCCCTTTGGGTTTCTGAGATTTTAAATCCATATGGAAGTAAACAGTCTCATCTTTCTTCCAGGAAGTGGCTGATGGGTTCCAACCCAAGACCTTGTGGTTAGAAACTCCCTGCGTAGCCCACTACGGGACTAACTCTTCAGGATCAAAATTCCTCTGTGAGTGAGGATGAGAAAAGCAGATCGATGGAATTTGTGATAAACTGAGATTGGGCAAGCAATGTCCCTACTAGCCATTGGTACTAAACTTGAATCTGTGTTCCCAATATTCCAAAAAAGGCTCTCTGGTTAAAATGACAGTTTACTTATAGGGAAAAAAACATCGGCAAGGCTATAGAGGTAGAGCCGTTTACATTGAGAGCATGTGGAAAATAAAACAAGCAGCCCTGTGGTCCTTGGGGGTGGGGAGTGGGGGGTTTGCCCTGGTTAGTTGTGTGGTGTGTGCTAGAACCTCCTGGCCAGAACTTCCTGGAACGTTGAATCCACAAGGACCGGCATGCTGTCCAAGGGCTTGAGCTCTGGAGCCAAGGGGAGAACAGTTCCAATTCACACCAGGTGCTCACTTCGTGCGAGCCTTAATCTAAGAACAAGTTATTCTTATAACACTGCCCTGCTCTGTGTCTGCCTCTAAGAAATGCTCACTGAAGATCTGGGTGCTATCGCAAAGTGTGGTGAAGGAAGCAGTTGGTGCCCACCTATCAGAAAGCATAACATCTGTGGTTTTAAAGGGCTGTCTTAAAAACAAACAGCCATCTAAGTGAGGAATTAGTTAAGTCCACATGGAAGAAGCACACCAGCCTTTGTGATCAATAATTGGAGATAGTAAAAATAATTGGAAATAGTAAAAACCCAGAGGAGGGAAAGGTATTAGAGCCTAAATTCTGAACACCCATTTTTCAGAAGGCTATGGACAACAGTGAAAGGTCCCTGTGTGGACTAAGCCTCAGGTCAATCCCCTCAGACTATAGCTCAGGGGTGTTATCAGACCTCCTTCATCAGCTAGAAGGCCTCCATCAGAGGGTGGCTGCAGGCAGTTGCAGGTAAGTCAAACTATGACACCTTGCTATGTCATTTGATCTCCTTCTTGATATTTTTTAAATATTTTCTTCTTTGTTTTTGATGGATGTTTCTTTCTGTTTCATTCTGCCATTGTTTTGGGGCTCTTTGCTTGTTGTTCGTATGTTTTCAACAACAACGAGTACAAAGAAAAACTATCCTGCAATTGGTT